AAAGTGCCATTTCTGATGTTCTTGGGTGGATCTCGTAGGACATCAGCACGATTAGCTCCCGATAATATTCCAGTGAAGCACGGGAAAACTATCGATAACACTGTACCAAAGCGAACACCATCATCGTAAGAGGGCCCAAGGTTGTTGCCAAGGGTCGATGCGCTGAGACCGGTGACACCAGCCAATTCTATAGCCTCACTCTGTGGTGACACGAATATCCCAACATAAAACATGAGGATGGTCAGAGATACTACCACCACGAAGAAGACCCCGAGTTTGGTGACTACGTGGATACCACCCCAGACCACTACGTTTAAGAGTAGGACCAGAGATCCACCGAATATTTGGTGATACCCGGGTATGCTGATGAGATCGGGGACAGCCATAGCCAATGCATCAATAGCACCAACAGACTCTAGTACACCTAGGAGAGCAAAGCCAAGATAGTAGGTAATACCAACACTGGCCCCAGCGTATGCCCCTAGGGACCTCGATAGCATATGATAAGGGCCACCCTCGGAGACCACACCTCCGGATGAGGCAATAGCACTGAGGCAAGAGGTTGTACAGAACGCTACGATGAAGGAGAGGACCACGGCCAAGCATGCTTCGCCAACACCAGCATTGCCGACTACGTAGAAGAACCTCAGGAATATGAGAACGCCCCACATATTCTCGCAGGTTGGTATCAATACTCCAGTTATGGTCCCTTTAAGCTTCTTATGCTTAGTGGTATCACTTGTAGTTCGACTCCTGGGCTTATTACTAGATGAGGATGAACCCCGATTGCTGCCACGAAAGGTTTCCCCGAGCATAGTAGCGTCCGCGCCGAATATGGTCAGGTCATTTTGCTGGACGAGCTCACCATTGTCCTCATCACTTTCCTTACTCGAAGGGAAGTTACCTAAATGATGTGAGAGAATATTCATGTATGTTGATGATGACGATTATTGTTAGTTTTTGTATACTTCTACCCGTAGTCGTGTATAAATGTAGCAAGGAAACTCAGATGAGGAGACCACAATTAAAACCAGGGCGTTCACGAGGTAGGCTATCGTGCTTCCCCATTACTACCTTTGCATTAAACAAGTCGTTGAGACTATTACTCTTTCCACTCTTGTGATCAGCCATCGTTGACATATAAAATTACAACTGAACGATTTCATGCACTCGACAAGCCTCTGAACTCTGGGAAAATCTGAAACGGTTTCTTTCAAGTTATTCGTAGAGAATTCACCCCGACGAGGATTTGTAACTCTTAGTAAGCGCGAACAGAAGTGGCTACTGACTTCACGCCTCATGTATCCTCGTCGACGGCAAACGAGACGTGAAGTCAGAAGCCGACTCGCCTAGGGAAAGACAAAACAGTTCGCCGCGCACGTCTCCACTGCTCGCGTTCTACGCAGCGTCTCAAGGATGGCCACATATTATGGGGCCCTGGTGGGCAAGTCGAGGGAATGCATCAAAGTCTCTCTCGTAGTTAAGGCGCTGACCTGTAGTATCCTGCTGTCTGTGGAATGTCGATTTCTGCTAAGCATGCACGCGTGAAGTGAGCCGAGGTTGAAAAATGTAGGTCACTCACAGCGGAGCGACGCAGACCGTGGGCGGCGGCGGCGGACTGCGTGTCTCTCCACAGACTAGCCCTCTTCCGGTAGAGCATAACATTGCTGCCCAATATGCCCCGGTTCTTCCATGCCTTGGTTTTGAGGTCAGCTCGTACAGGTCCTCTCGAGGGATGATAACCACATTTCTCGGGATGGTAGCAGTGGGGGGTCGACACCGACATGCCGTTCTCCAGGAAGAGTCTGGGGGTGTGTGGAAGAGGACAACAGGACAGTGTTCTCGGGATGGAGACCGTATATTAGTGACCAGATGAAGATAGAGTACCCTCAGTCACCTCGTGATTTTCCCACTAACTAAAGTGTGTTGTTAGTCAATCTATCATAGTTCTCCTGCTCATCCCATTACTAGTGCTGATATGACCTCACTTACCGCACCGCAGCCTTCAGTCAATAGCAGTATGTTCACCACTGGGTGGAAATACGATATAGTCATTGTCGATCAGGCGTTAGCGCAGCTAAGGCCGAGTTCAAGAACGCTAATAGTCGCATGCTCACTTCGAAATTCGTAATGCTTCATCGTAAGAGTCGCCTCAGGAGCACTGATGATTCAGATGGTCAGCCCTGGTATTAAGGCAGGACGCCAGAGGAAGACCGTAGAGGAGGACATACAGCCGGCTGAGGTGAGCTGTTGGATTGTTGGAGACTTTCAATGGGGAGTGGTAGGTCTT